GATTCCGCCCTGGAAGAAGCGGCTTTGTGGCCCTCGCTGCGCTGGCTGGTGGGCACTGATTAGACTTTGATAAAGCACCTGAGGTTCTCCCTCTTTAATGTCGAGGTGCAGGATGGTAGGAGAAGTTCTGAAACTCCCAGCAGGTGGGAGCGCTTCAATAGCCGCATAATCCCGCGTCGCAATAAGCATGTGCCGGTGGAAAGTAATTAATCTCCTTCCCGACGTACGGATATAGTATCTTAAATTTGCAGAAGTGCTGGGGATGCAGATTTCTTGCTGCTGTTCAGGCTGCTTGGCTACCTCTTCACGGCAAGGGAACGGCCATGGGGCCGTCGGGCTTTCGCGCCTCCAGCCCATCTCGCTGCTGATGCCTTGTGCATCCCCGGAGCTGTGCAAATTTTAGGTTACAAGCACAACTGAAAAATGCTCGCTAAGGGGCAGCCAGTAAGGAAATGTTTTTTCACCCGTTTTTTTTTCCCCCCAACACTTTGTGTTTTTCATAGGCAACTTGTTTTTTTCTGGTGGTGCCGCTGCAGAGCCGGCTGGTTCCCGGTGCCGACGGGGGCAGCTGGGGCTCGTGCAGCTTCTCGGGAAGGACCCAGCAGCTCCCGGGGATGTGCGCTGTCCTGCCCCCTGCATGTTCCTCTTCCCGAGCCGCTGCCTCTGCCGCGGGGCCATCCGTCACGGGCGGCACCGGCCTCTTCCCTGCCCCAAAACAGGGGGAGAGGGTTAGGATGATGGTGGGATCCGTGGAAGTGGCTGCCCACCTTCTCCTGGACATGAGGCGGGCACTAGACAGTGTGGAAGCTTTGGGTTCGGCATGCTTTGTATAAAACCCGGTTCTTGTAGCAGCAGATTAACTCCTGATGTCCCTTCCCCCAGTGCAGCCCTGACTTGCCTCTCATCTTCCTTACGAAGGAGGAAGAGTTGCTAGTGCAGAAACGTGTTGTTGTTGCATTGCTGGAAGGTGATAGCAAACAGCTGGGTATAGTTCTTGGATGAGTGTGCTGGCTTGTGAACTGTCGTATCTGATCTTTGGGCTTCTGGTGCTGCTGCAGAAAATGCTAGAAGACATAAAATCCAATAGGCTTCTGGGTGGGGTTTGTTTGGATGGTTGTTGTTTGTTTATCAAACTTGTGAGGTCTCCAGAACGATCTCAAAAGAACCTTTATGAAATCAAGGTTGTGGAGAAACAGGGACAATGTTTGGACAGGTGAATGCACATGGCTCTGAAAGTCGTTGTGTTTCTCTTTCCTCTGCTTTATTTACAAAAAAGGAAATTGGAAATAGAATTGTAAATTGCATCTTAGGTCCTTTTTGGATTCATGGCACTGCCGTGTCTGTACGACTCAGTTTGCAGTGGATTTACCTTCAGAATAACCTGATCAAACAGCGGTGCAGTGTCTCCAGTGGGGAACTGTGACACGGAAAAGCTAAGTGGTGTGACCAGGATCACCCAGGAAAGCTGTTGCAGAGCAGTGACAGCAAGTTCTCCTGTGTCTTTAGCATTACACATAAGCCTCGTGGTCATTGTTGCCAGGCCCCTTTTGGCGTATCCTTCCTCATCTGTCATTTCCGATTCCCTTTGGAGAGGAAGTCCTCCGTTCCAAGCAGCCCATTTTACCCTGTTTTGGAAGAGAAAGCATCCCTTCATGTCACTGCTTCTGCAGCATCTCGCACAAGGGGGTCTTAGCCCATGCTAGACCCCTAAAGTAATAAATTTAAAAGCCTTTTATTCAAAGTCTGATCATGGCCTCTGTTGGATCATTTTTCATCTCGTCAAATTAATGAACTTAATATAAAAGATCTGAATAAACTGTCTGCGTTGAAAAGCAAAGCTTATCTGAGTAGGAGAAGGGGAACAATAGAAGAGCAGAAGGCAAAAATGTAGGGAATTTTTAAGATGAGAAGAATTCCAGGAGGAAGTTGGTTTAGGGAGAAAGACCGAGAGGAGAAGGGGGAAATCTGAGCAGGGCCTGTAGGTCAGTGCAATCTATGTACGAAACTGAGACAAAGGGAGAGGAAGGAAAATGAGAGAAAATGAGAGGAGAGGAGCGTATGGGGAAAGAGAGGAGAAGGAGGGGGGAAATGAGGAACTAGAAGTGGGGGGTTGCCCTAGTGCGTCGCGCTGGGCAGGGGAGCCCCGAGAGCGCCGCTCGCAGCGTGCCAGCCCATGCAGGGCCGGCCTCCCCAGGCTGCACGGAGTGGCTTTGGGAAGTCAGCTCCAGCACACTGTTCTACACGTTTACCGTGTCCCTTCTGAAGGGAACCAAGGTAAGAGAGGTGAAAGGGAAGAAGGTTTGTTTTTATTTTTGGTTAATGAAATGATCTGTGTTACCCAGGCACCCAAAGGCCCAAAGGTATTAGACTCTATCCACGAGTTTGCTTGGAAAGACTCCCTTTCCTGAAGCGTTTACGCTGTAAATACAGAGTAGGAGAGATGGGAAGGAGAGGAGCGAATTAATGATGCAATTTACCAACATTATATATCTGACAATGGCAGAGCTAGGAACAGAAGTCAGGTCTCCTGTGTCTCCCCGCAGTGCCCTGTCTCATGAACCACGCTGTCTTTCCATCTGTCAAGCTGACATCCACAAATTAAAATGTATGGCAACTATCTCCACAGTATCCTCCCACTCAGCCTTTCTCCTTTCTTCCGTAGGATTTGCTTTTCCTTCAGTACCTTTGTTTCCTTTCTACAGTGTGTGACTCATTACACAGAGATTAAGATTATATGAATTTTATCCATCAGTGCGTGACTGTTTAAAAAAAATATTTGCAGAAAACATTTGAGAAATAATACAGTCAGGAAAACCAGAAATGGAGAGTATCCATTAGATCTTTTAGCATGTTCATGATTGTTTCCCATAAAACGTTTTTTTTTTTTTCCTCTTAAGTTCAGCGTGGTTTTTGAAAATGCCACATAACCTCTATTATTTTCTTTAAGTGGTTATGATGTGGGTCCCGTCTATGACATTTCTTTGTGTGAAACCTGCTTTTTCTTCATTAGATCACTTTGACTCTTTGTGGTTTCTTTCTTTTTTTTTTTTTTTCAGAAAATGCCAGTGTTAATAATTAATGGTGACTAATAAAATGAATTAGCAGACCGTGGGTACGCTCAGTCCCTGATAGGGTGTCTTGTCCCCGACAGGAGCAGCCGGTACCATATGCTGGAAGGAGAACTCAGGACTGCTTGGAATTGGCAATTACGGAGCAGCTCGCCCCTGGGACGAGGTGATTCTTAACCACTCTCTGTTAACAGTCTACCAGTGTCCTGAGGCATAAGGTTCGTATGCCTGTAATTTACGCCGTATCAAATGAAGTAGTGGGTGTTATTGGTGCTGCTGTCGCTATCTAATTCCCCTTTTGGAGCCTTGTCAAGCTCATGGGTGAGGTGATTGTTATTTCCTTCAAATATGTGCAGCTCTTACTGCAGTGGTCTCGCCTTGGCAAAGCCACACATGCTACTGATAATCTTTTCTTAGAAACTATCTCCAGCCACTTGAATTATGTTCATAAGAGAATCCAGAGAGAAAATTGGCACTGAGAATATGGGAGAGGATAACCAAAAAATTTAAGAAGCTTTTTAAAATGTGTCCTATATTTTAGTCCAACAAGTTTAACAATCTTATTGTTGAAATAGCTCATTACTTTTATGATTCCTCGAATGTGCCTGAACTGTGTCATAACTGGTTCTTTTATTTTATATTTACATTGTGCAGAGGTCACTTCCAGCTTCAAATATTCTGAGTTTTGCACTCTCCTAACTTATGCCTGCTCCAGTGCCAAATTTGTCTCATAAAATTAGACTGCAAGCTTTATTGAACAAGAACTTGCATGTTTGAGCACAGTAGGGCTCTGATTTTCTGACACTCCTGTACAGTACAAATGAGTGCAATTCTTGTGTCTTGAGAATGGTTCCTTTGGGCAAGGTCTTTTCCTTTTAGATTCTCCCTTACTTCTATTTTTGAGTTGTTTTTGCTGTTTTCCTTGTGCTTCCAACCTCTTTTATGATTGTTTTGAGACTCATAAAGGGCTTGTTTAAAGTACATTGAAATAAAACTGTGATTCTTTTAATCTGCACAATTTGAAGGAAAAAAAAAAGTGAGGGAAATGCAGTATAAGAAAAACTTTGCAAAAGAATGTGGAGAATACAAACTTAAAAATATATGCAGGAAATGTAAAGTTAGCACCTTCTCCATCTGATCAGTCTGCATGACATAAAAGGCAACTGTAGATATAGTAAAATTATTAAATATGTTGCTAGGCCTGAATAACAGCACAATTTGAGAACTGAAACAATGTATGTTTTTGAAGTGGGTCTCTCTCACGCTTGAGGTCAGTTGACAGTAAGTGATGTGAATTGTGTAGCAGCACTAAACCTCCAATATCTACATGTGCTGAAGTCAGACTGCTTGTGGTGGTAGACTCACTTTTAACTAATAAATGCTTTTTACATTTTTTATAAAATACTCGGGTTTTTTTTTGCTGTGACTCATCTTGATTTTCAAGTAGGATTTGCACAGCAACAGTTACTGCAGGAGGAAGGTAAATCCTTGTGACCTATCTTTGTCGTTCTGGCTCAGGAGCTGATATTTTAAGAGTGTAACTTTATTGTACAGTGCATTGTAGTTACACTTAATCAGATCTATTAATACCATGCTCATAATTCCTAGATAAATAGGAGAAAAAGTGTTAGTTAACACAGTGAGTGATTTTACTTATGAAGGAGACTTCTTCTTTCATGTATTTTATGAAGCAAAGTCAACTTAGTTTCGCCTCTTTACCTTTCAGGTGTTCTTGAGAAGTGCCTGCCCTTTGGAGCTCAAGAAGGACATGAGGAGTAAAAGGACCTTGGATCTCACTGGTCAGAATGAAACAGATGTTGAAGGATTTTTCAAATCTATTGTTAGTAGTGCTCTGTGACTATGGTGAGTATTAGATCTATAAAGGGAATACTGAGAGATTCTTATTCACAGAGTATTTTTGGATGGTGCTGTTATCAGATGATTTGTAGAAACAGGCCTGCCAAAGAGCACATTTCTGATATGCATAGAGTTGACTCTAGATCTTATGCAAAAGGTAGGTGGAAAATAAGACTCGCATAAATTGCACGTTTGGATCAGAGTGGCAGGAACCTTTCCTGCTGTTAATGTGCCCAAAGAAATAAACATGATAAATGTGTGACTGGCTGTGTTAGAAGCGGTAACTGCTCTGCTCTTGTACGCCTTGTATTTTATAACATTCATTAAATGCCGTGTAACATGCACCATGGGTGAAGTTCTGCGGAGTGCTAGAGCCTGTCAGTGTGAGGAAGCTCATATACAGTGGGGTAGACATGAATTATCACCTCTCTTCCTCTGCAAGCGAGGGCACTTTAGTGGCTACACACAGCCTCTCATTTTAGGATCCTACCTAAGACCTGAGGATATCTAGGCAGTGAGTAGATAGAGCTGAAAAAGGGAAGTTTCATCTCGCTCAAGTGTAGATGTCTGTTCTGTGGAAGGGTGCATCTGAGCTGGGTCATGCTGGATCCCCTCATCACAGAGAGAAACAGGTGCTTTTGGTGTGCAACTAGTCACCTGGCACGTTGCAGGTGTCCACACCGGGGTGGGAGGACTGTGCCATTCAAGTGCCCATTTCTCAACATTAACTATACAAGAAGCCTACAGCGGCTAGCTGAGCTAAGCGAAAAGTCTATTATTTAGGTAATTATGAATATTGAATATGCTCTGCTATTCATGGCCCTATGCTTGCTCAATTTCTACACTAGAGCAAGTGATCACTAGAAGGGATAGAGAACAGAGCTGCAATCTTTTAGATTAAGTCCAAAAGAAGTGGAGACACTTGTGTGACTTAGTGTTGTTTGTTATTTTAGTCAGACAAAGTTAACCAGCCAAATTGGGAGTGCTGCACAGTGGGATGCACACAGTGAAGGTGCATACCGAATTCACAGTGAGGTGAATGTTTCCAGGATCCTCGAGTTCTCAGTGAGCCGCCCCTGCAGGCATGCATGGCTAGTTGTGTCAGAGGTGAAAGACATTATTGTGAATAAGAGGCTAGAAGGAAGCTAAATCTCTATTGAAAACTGTAGGTGTGTCATATTTTGCAGTACTGATGCCCAAAGAGCAGTCCGTAATTCAGAATATAACTTCCAAACTATATTGCCCATCTATTTCTCTGTTTTATGTCGACTGCTCTATAAATGTACCAGTGTACCCCAGAAAATTACTGTAAAGTTAAAAAAAAGAAGAAAACAGCAACAAAACAGTTTTCTTATTTCTCATCAGTGTTTCTGGCGTGTTTGTTCTTTGTTGCTCTGAGCTACCGGTGTCTCATGTCCAACTCAACGTCACAATTCAAGTTGGCTTAAACACAATTTAGCAATAAATAAATATCAAAATAACATGCTCAATTAATTCTCCTCACTCTTCAGTGGAATCAAGCTTTTCCTTTTGATCTTTCTAAGAGCGAGGTCTTTGTAGAGACTCTGCTGGCAGATTGTTGGTGCCCCAGCCAGACTCCATTCAGTGGAAGACCATTGTAATGACAACCAAAAATATACAAATGCACTGAAAGCTGCTCATGATCAGCTGTCCAAACAACTGGGACCAAGTTTTGGCTTGCGATGTGGTCATGTCTGCCCAGCAGGCTGAAGGACTCTTGGAAGAACAGAGCGTGGAAACCGGCTTCTTTTGAGTAGTGACTTTCAGAGCGTTGCAGGTCTCTAGAGGAGCCCCCTCCGAGTGCAAAGTTCTTGTGTTATTAGACAAAGATGGGAGAAGGGCTGCTGTGAACTGGGGCTGTGTCAGCCAGAGCTCTGCAGTGCACTGGGGACATCCCCTAGTAATGCTCAGGGTTCTCACTTCCCAAGGGATTCGCAGTAGGGTTGGAGAGAGCTACGTGGTAGTTCTCCTGCCTGGGGATGCAGATTAAAAAAAAAGTGCAAGGGAGTTAGTACAGAATTACTATTCTCTAATTCTGCAGGCACAGACATTAGTGCTTTTGGTTACTATTATTTGAGCGGTTTTGAAAAAAAAAGTAATTAAACCTTGACGTTGAAATTGCCCATGCTAGGTTTTTGGCATCTTTTTTTTTTTTTCTCTATTATTATTTCACATAAGATGGGTCTGGCCAGTTCCTTTGAAGAAAAATACAACGCTTTGTCTATGTTTAAAGAAACAAGAATAACAAAAAAGCGACTTGCAACCATTTCACTGGGAAACTCAACCATGCTTACAGAAACTTATATATTTGTGAGTTGTCTTTCACTGTCCTTATAAAGATTTGCCCAAACTTGTTCCAGTTCCAAGGCCTGGTAGCTGCATTTGTGGCTAAGTTCTCCAAAGGGCTGAGCGTGCCCCGGCTCCCATGGCTCCTCTTGCCAGCCCTGTGCAATCCTGTGTGTGCTCCAGCCCAGCATAGCAGAGTCCCCTCATCGTAACATCAGGCACTAAGACTGTTTGCTCTGTGCTTTTTGTTCTTCTCTCTGGAATGCTGGAGGTATGCAGGAACTTGCTGGAGTTAAAAGCAGGTCCAAGGAGCAGGATAAGGTAACAGAACTATAGGGGAAATAAGTGGGATGTCACCTGGGTTTGGAGTATCAGAGCACTAGGAGGATGGAGTTGAGAAGGTGCCTGACAGAGACTGATGGGGGTGACAGTAGGAGCTGAGGGAGCGGCACTGGGAGATGTGGGCAGGCACAAATGGCAGAACTAAATGCTGAGGAGCAAGGAGAATGCAATCCAAGACAAACCATACAGACCTGTATTTCACATGTGTTCAGGGTTACTTTGTTGCTGTCTGCATGTCCAAGTTGAGATCAGGTTTCTGAAAAGCCCTGTGCCCACTGCAGCTGAGATCAACGGGAGCCAGCTTGGGATGGCTATAAGATTGTTGCATTTGAAAACCAGGCTCTAGGTTTCTTAAATAGGGCATCCAGAATTAGTTGATACTTGACAGTGTTCACCCTTGTGCCTGTGCTTTAGCTGCTAACACACTAAACAAGAATAGCATCAACCCCTCATTTTTCAGGAACTTTGCAAGCTTGCAAGCTCGTTAATATTTCTCACGCACTAATCAGGTACTATGATAAGAGCTCAATAGAAAACTCCATAGGAGAAATGATTTTTTTTTTTATTGTCAAAATGCATTTTGGATCGTGTATGGTCAATAAAACATGGGACCACCCATTGAAGAAGGAGAATCAAAGAGCGCACTGATAGCAAGTGCCATCTATCTGCCAAATGAAGCAGAATCCTTTGGAATAAATAGTACTAAGCCATGCAAATTAAAGACTGAGTTACAATACAAATATATGAGGCATATGTGATTCCTACATGGAAGGCTGTGCATGTGTTGTTCAGGCGTATGCATGTGGTCAGAATGCGTTACCGTAGGCACTTGTAGTTGAGGAGGAGCAAGAGGCTCTTCCAATATGCACTGCTCCTCACTCCGGTATAAATGCCTGCAGCCGGTGAGATGAATTGCTTCCTGAAGACGTTCCCTACTGGCAAGGAAGCAAATCCAAAGTGACTGGGAGCTTACAGTGGTAGGTGTCTAATATCATGTGTGATTAGTCCTACTACTCCTGACTGCTGAGTGCTTGTCTTGGCAATCTCAGTGTGTGTAGCAGATTTAACAAGTCCACATACTATTAGCTGATACTGCTTATGAACAGATGACTTCAACTGAGGTTTTATGCTTCTGTAGCACTTTTCATTGAAGACCCAGAGACCTTTACCCAGATAATTAATTAAGATGTCTTATTTCATATTTGGACATTTCATATCTGGCATATATGAATGTTATTCCCATTTTTCTGATAACCTTTCTATATGTGTAATCTTTAAGTTCCAAGCAATGCAGGAAAACTAGCTGAGCTGAGAACCAAAATGTGATCTTCCCAATCCAGTGCTTTAGATACCATCTATACTCACTAGTTACAGCATGTCTCAGGGTAATTTGGCAACTTGCACAAACATGGACATGCCAGAAATGAATTTTAAAAGACTGTCCCATTTATAATGAAATGATGTCATTTAGACATGTTGCACCACATCTAAGACAGGAAAAGTGCTGCAGTCACCATCACTGTTATTTTCAGCTCTTTCACTCAAGTGTCTCTGTGATGCAAATGAGCAAAATGAAAGATTCATAAGACAGAGCAAGAGAAGAGGCTTCAAAAAACATCATGTAGACTTCCTATTTTATTTAATTTGAGGGCCATTTTTCATGCTTCTGCATTAAGAAACTACAGTCCTTTTTGCTGAATTACAGCTCAAGTAAGTGCAACAACAGCTGGCTACTGTCAAGTGGACCTCAAGAATCTGTTGAGTGAAAGAAGTTGAGAATTCTCCTGGATTACTCACAGAAATTAATTTTATGTGGATTTTTTTTTACCCCTCCTGTACGTGTTATTACCACAGTGGACTTTAAGTGGTGCCAAACAATGTCCTTTCAAAAGCAAGACATGGTGAACTTTAATTGGTATAGCCAGGGGCTATTTAGGTGAACTAACTCATGTTAAAAAGTTTGAGAACCATTTCTAATATATGCACTTTATAAACCTTTATTTTCTTTCATAAATTCCATAAATGACCAGTTGTCTCTCTGTTTTTCAATACTGTTGTGAATTATTTTCTTTCAGTTCTCGGTGAAGTGGAATATCTCCTCTTGAAGCATCCAGATCATGTAGCCTTCAGCAATGACACGGTCTCTGTGGAGTATCAGTACTATGATGGTGGTAATATGACAGCAGAGAATACGTCCATCCTATTGCTCGATGCCAATACCAACCAGATCATTGCAAGAAAAGAGCTTCCAGCAAATCAGTCACACGGGATGGTAGAGTTTGAGTGTTTCTACTTCAAGAGCGCTGGGGACTTTTGGTTCAGAATGGTCTCTCCAAGAGATAATAGTAGTGATGGACCCTGGAGTGGAAGAAGAACGTCCCCCCTCCATGTGCAATGGCCTGTATTTCATATTGATTTGAATAAGACCTCAGACCTTGGAAGCTCCCTCCAGGTTGGACTTTTCACAAATGAACAGTTGTGTGCCCTGAAGGAGATGGTAGTTTCACTGGACGTGATATTCAGCAGCACTCTTTATGAACTAGGAAAACTAAGCTCTGATGAGACACTGGGCATTAGAACTAGAAAAGGAATCTTGCTCTCTAGATCCCAGTGGGTAGAGTTTGATTGCCCACCTATTGGTCAAGAAACATATATCACTGTGTTGCTGAGATCACTAGAAACACGTTCAGTCATTGCCTCCATGGGACCCATAGACCTCCTGCACAAATTTGGGTACCGACTGGTGGTGGCACCAGAAGCAACATGCAAGACTTTGGTTCAGGTCTTTGTGGTTTCTCCACCATGCACTTCTGCCAGTGGAAAGATTGCTGTCTATAAAGAGGCTCTCAAGCATCCTAGCCAAAGAACAACTTGGCTGTATGAAAACACCATTCACCCAGGAGACAACAGGACAGAATTTAACTGCACTTTGTTTGATGTGGGGAAGAACAAATACTGCTTTGACCTCTTTAGTTTCTCAAACCGAAGCCATTTCTCAACCAGAGTTAAGGAGTGTATGATGATCCAAAGGAATATGGGTTTGTACTGATGTTTGTCATCTTTTAGTAGAAATCAGTGCTCTTCTGAAGCAACATGGGTAAAGATAAATGAATTTGATTACAATGTCTTCTAATCAGTAGCTGTTTTTTGGGGTCTCCTATACCATACCAAATAATAGTAATGCCTTGGTGGCAATAAAATGGAGTAGATTGTTAAGCAGAGGGATACATAAGGTAGTAAACTATAATGGTTTAAAATTACACAAAGTACCAGCCAGAACCATTTGGGGCATTTTGAATGACACATGTATACATATATATATATATAGTCCCAGTCTAACTGAAACTTTACCCTCTTAGTGCCATGAGAAGCTACTACAGTAGATCTGGCCTATTGGAAACATTAGGTTAGGATTAATTTTATCTACATTTAAGCATCCAAAAGCCATGTTTTAACCTTTAGTAGTTGTCTAATTGTTCTTTAAGTCAAAAGAGAGAGGCATCTCAGAGGGATGATTCATCCTACCCTAAGATAGGTGTGTTAGCTGAATCCTTGTCCAAGTGTCTTCTCCCCTAGTTGTTTATTGTAGAACTTCAGATGTCTGCCTGTTAGAGATATATTTTTTATTAGATTAATGAAGATTTGGACATAGTGAAAAGGCACTGTCTTGTCTCTTAGCTTACTTTTTTTTTGTTCATCTGTCTTTCAGGCCATGTCTCTACTACTGTTTAAAACAGGCCACAGTTCATTTTCTGACCCATGAGGCCAGCTGCCAGGTCATGAGTTTCTTAGTTACTGCAGCACATTCAGCAAGGGCTGCTAGCATGATTAAGGGACTAGACCATCTCCTGTATGAGGAAGGGCCAAAGGAGCTGGGACTGTTCCACCTGGAGAAGACTGGCAGGGTATCTTAACAATGTCTATAAATACCCAAAGGGTGATGTAAAGATGATGGGGCCAGACTCTCCAGTGGCAGGGTGAGAGGCAGTGGACCTAAACTGAAACACAGGAAGCTCTCTCTAAACATAAAGGAAAATTTCTTTAAAGTGAAGATGACAGAGAAACAGGTCCAGAGAGGCTATGGTGTCTCCATCCTCGGGCATACTCAAAAGCCATCTGAACACAGTCCTGGGCAACACACTTTAGGTGACCTTGATTAAGCAGAGGGTTGGACTAGATGCTCTCTAGAAGTCCTTTCCACCCTCAACCATTCTGCGATTTGATGAGTCACTTCCATAGAAAAGATAAGCTTCATGCATCTTGCAAACCACAGACAGCCCGTGGCCCATATGGTCCTTGGTACCAGGCGTCCTCTGGGAGAGCGCCGTTTGACGGAGTCCAAAGCTCTGCCCAGGGGTCTCAGTGATCACAGTTCAGCAGCAGGAGCGATCACAAGGCAGAGCCTGAGCCCGTTGCTTCACCCTGTGTAAGAAATACCTATACCTTCTATTTATATGTGTACATCTTATATAGCATAGCCTCAAAGGCTCTGGGATGGTATTTCAAGGGAGCACAGAAGCTGAAGATGGCAGCAGCACAGTGGGGGAAGGAGGGAGCCGCCTCTCGCCCCCACCTCGGCCTGCGTGAGGCCTCGAGGTGAGGCGGCTCGAGGAGAGGGCGCGCAAGGGGGTTGGCCTTGGGCTGCGTCGTGCTGCTACGCTCCGGGATGGAAAACTGAACGCTCTCGAGTTCTGTGGCGGGCTCATGTTCATCAGCAATGTGTTAGACCTCCCCACACAATGCCAAAAAGGAGTCGTTGCGCTTTCTGGGTAGGTCTCTAGTGGGATAGTCAGGAGACCAGGAGTATGGGATATGCTCCATAGGACACGATCGAGATAGGGCCTACCTTAGTTATGTTTCTAGTGCCATCTGCGTTTGCTTTGTACTACTGCAGGAATTTTAAAACTGTTAGATCTTTAATTGACACTCTAAACTAAAAATGACCTCTATTTTCACCACATGCCAAGCTCAGTATCTAGTTCATTTATTTAACTTAACTTTCCATCTGTATTCTCTGCTGGCACTCCCTCTCTTTCTTTGGCACAACTAAGCCCTTTTGGAAAATGAAAACATATTATTTTCTTAATCAAGACAATTTTCCTGAAGCAGAGAGGAAGAGAAAATTCAAATTTTGTCTTTGTGTCTGGGTGGCAGATAGATGTTACCCCAATACAATCTCAGTAATTATCCTGATAGATGAATACCTAGGATATGACATAGATAGGTTTCTGTGCCCAGAACTTGACTGTTTTAATTGATAAGATCCACCTTGAGCAATGACTCCCTGCCATTTGCTTTGTTCACTGGGTTGCACAGTAGCACCAAATTTACAGCTGCAGCTGAAAGAAAACTCAGGCTACATGGGTGAAGAGTGGCTTTAAGTCAATAGCTGACAAGCTGGAAGTGTCAAGTCTACAAAGCCGATGAAAGCAAAACCACGCAGCAGAACTGTAAATAAAATGTCAACCTGAAATTAATTAGACCGCGGCATGCTTGACTGTGTGCGCCCGGCTTCAAAGCCCCGCGGCAGCATTTGAGAGCAGGAGGACGCTCCGGGAGAGGTGCCGGCTGCTCGGTCTGGGGCTGTGCTCGTAGACCAATGGCTATTTGTGTAGCAAGTGCCGCTGCTGCGCAAAAGCATCTCCCCTTAAATAGGGTGTTTTCTGCTTTGGACCTCCTGGAGTTGCTCAGATTAAGGGCAGGAGAGGGGTGGGCATCATGCACGTGGGCCCTGTGCAGCGTGGACCACCACTGTGCACCCGCTCTCCAGCTGAGCCCCGCACGTGGTCTCTGCACTCAACTGCAGCTCATCCTCCAGGCAGATATCCATCTCTCCCTGAAGACACCATAAAATTGAGAGCCTTCTGGTAATTTCACTCTCACATCCTCTCATAAAGAAAAGGAAATCATGCATTATTTATAACAGCAACAACAAAAAAATCATCTAGTTTCATTCTTTAGTGATTGGCTCTTACCCTGCTGCTCTCTGCTAGATGGGAGGGCTTTTCGTATCCCCGGTCTTTCCCGTGTGAAGGCGCTTCCATGTCCAAACTGCACTAGTCCTATCAGATAATCCCAGTGCCTTTAGTAAGCTGAAAAGGCTTAGTCTTTAACTGGGAAGCATTTTCTTTAGGATCTGGTTAGTTTTCTGGCTCATTTCTGCTCCCTTTCCGCTTTTTAACAATCCGTTTTGGACAGCCTGGACCCCTGCTTTGGCTGCAGTGTTCTGATGTCCCTCTCAGCAATGTTGTTGAGCAGCAGCACCTTCCTTACTCCCACATAGTGCTCTGCTGCCCGTATTTGCGCAGGTTGCATTAGTTCATTTCACAACAGCTTTTTTACCCTGTGAACTCCTTTGCAGCTCCGTTTACACCTGACCTTTGAGTGCTCAGTCTACCGGTCTGTGGGTCTAATTTCTATTCCCCTCTCTTGTCTGTGTAATTTTGCATTTGGTGATTTAAAGTCTACTTTGCTTTGTCTCGATTTACCATGTAATTGCTCCATGCAATTGCACTGTCTACTTACCTCACCGCAGTAGTGGCATATTTTCTCACTAACGATCTTGTATTTACCTTCTTGTCAGTGAAGGAAACATTGTATAGCATTAAGCCTAGCAGTGATCCCCTTGGAATCTCTCCAAATGCATCCCCACTCAGTGATGATTTTCTGTTGACAGTTACAGACCAAATCTGCCACTCAGCCAGTTCTTACTCCATTTAGCATATGCTTTATTATTCCAATATGATCATACTGCCTTGTAAAAGGTTAGCGCCCCTAAATCATTAAAATTATCTTCATCTGAACCACAGAGGAGGAGATAAAGTTTGTGTTACAACAGCCATTTTTCAACACTGATATTTATGACCCTTTATCCATCCTACTTCATTCCTGACAGATTTTGTACAGCTAGCAGAAAAAGAGTCCCTTTTTGTGCCTCGAGTAGGAAGCAGAAGGCTCCTGATAACCCTGAACAAGGTAGAATGCCAGCTCTTCCAGCAGGGGCTATCAGCTTCAAAATGAGTGTTGTAAAAAAGCCTCAGCTTTTTAAGACTGTGAATATATCTGTTAAATGTGGGGAATATATCTATTAAATGTGTGCCAGTGCTTGTGCAGCTTTCTGCAGACTCCAGCTGGAGAACCCGTGAAAAAATAACAGAATGTGAGTCACTTCATTCATCTCAGCGGGGTGCTAACTGTTTCATGCAGATGATTTAGAGAGAATCATACAGCTATTTTTTTCTCTCTGTTTGACTGGATTATTTGAATGTCTGAGATAAAAAAACTCCGTTAGATCATTTTATCCAGGACTGCTGAAAGCTCAGTCTTTGGAAGCTCTGTGCTTCCTTCAGTTGAGATTTGAATGTCCCCAGCAGTGGGACTTCTGCTTTCTTTAGGAAGATGCTCTACCTCTAGCCAATATCCTGTGGGAAACAGTTGGGACAACTCTGATGAAATCGATTGGTAGCATATTGGCATATAAATGAGCATATTTTTTTCTGTTGTTTCCAGAATTAATTAGCTTTCTTTTAGTTATGCTCTGGAGACAAATTTTGACCTTGGTGTAACTCCCAATGAGGTCTCTTGCACTTCCTTACAGCAGGGCTGAGTTACCTCCTCTCTGTGACTTTTCTAGGTATCAAAAAGGAGCCATAGAGCAGAGCAACAGGACAAAAAGAAGGGAGAGGAAGAGGCAAGTAGGAGAAAGCCCTTCTGAAGAGAGAAGTAGTCAGTGGGGGAAGGACTAAGTAGAGCATGCAGAGGAAAGGCAGGAATCTAAGCTCTCATCAAATTTTTACTCCCTGAATAACATCGTATACATCAGACCTGCCTATTATCTGTAGAAAAATCTGGAGACCAATTAGTCCTAGTGCCTGAATCCACATCTGCTTGCATTTCTTTAAAAACAGGCTGATGTGAGGAGGCTGCATCTACCAGCCCTTGTTTGTAGCCCAGTTCTGCTTCATTTGCAGCAGTGAGTTCCTAATCTCTACATCTGCAGCATTTTAAAGATGTATCTAGTGTTACGGACCCACTGGGACTCATTTTAGCTTCTAAAAGGATTTATAGACTGTGTCCCTGCATGTCTTAAAGGTGCCCATTTGTGAAGGAAAGACTGTGAGTTGCCCAGGCAGAGTCTGGGTTTTCTTCTTTGAAAGGGATCCTAGTCCAAAGCAGTAACCTGCTGGAGCATGCCACCCTTCCAGTGCTCCCAGGCTTCATATTTGTGGAAAATGCAGGCACGGCCAGTCCCAGCGCCTGGGATGTGATCCCAAGTGCCACAAATAGCTGGCAACCCTCCAGGCTGGAGTAGCCTGAAAATCATCAGTGCTCTTGTCCCTGACCCGTGGTCCTGTAGAAGTGCTCAAGGCTGTCACAGGCTGCCGGGGGGAGGCTGAGCATCCCTTGCTGCTGTGCCAGGGGTGGCTCCACATGCTCTAGTTCTCACCAGGCCAGCGAGGAACACGGGAAATTGAGGGGAGGTGCCACGCAGGGTGACAATTAACGCAGTTAACTGCGTTTATCCTTCATGTTGGCAGAATTGTCAGCTATTTCAAGCTAGCTCATCAGATAGATGTCTTCATGTTGGCAATAGATTCCTCAATTGTATATGAAAATTTTCATACTTAATAGAGCTAGTTTGTGGTACGTGCCTTCTGTTTTCTCCCCTGGCACTGTGGATCCGTTCGTCTTAAATGGAGGTTAATTATTTTGTTTCCTTGGGGAAGAATAACTGTGTTTTATTTTCTTCTACGCTTTGGTAATTGCAAGAGGTTGCAGAGCAAGCTGCAGGAGCTTAAATCTCCATCTTTCTCAGGAGCTGGAGAATCTCCTGCTCTCCTGTTGTTTAAGGTTCTCAGTCTTAGCCCCAAAGCTACAGATGCCAAGTGTTTTTGGTAAGGAACTCTGCCCTTGGCAGAAGCTGAAGTCAGTGAGAAGTGCCTCGGAGCTATGGTAGGTCTGACGTCAAGGTTAGAGAATTGCTTATCCTAAATATTGTCTTACGTTGAAGCCCACAGGCACGAACGCAGGGAAGTGAGTAGCACCGGAGGCACTCGGCACCCTGATGGATCTGGCCCTATGTCTGACTGTAATTAACCGAAGTTAAAACACATGGGGAACATGGAGATACATGAATGAACTAGTGCACGCACTGGGAGTTATGACAGGGACTAAATGACCCAGCTGCTCGTAGTAAATTAATCTGCGGGGAGGTCTGTGCTTCCCCATCTCCCACTGCCATGGGTGGGAGTGTGGTGCTGTTGCTGGTAGTGGGTGACACTGCTGGAGTCTTTCATGATCCTGAGAGCAATGGAAGTATCTTGATACTCCCAAGTGTCGTCATGCCATTAAGTATTTTAGAAAAGGGATCAGCAGGCCCTTGAGGGGCTGCTATTCTGGTTGCTTTTCTTGCTGCCCTCACTGGTAACTCTGCTCCCTGACTGATGTGACCTTGCAGTGGCCCGGGAGCCACATCCATGCCCATCCTGCAACACACGTGAGTAACTTTGTGTGCAGGAGCAGCCCCCTGCTCATAGGAAACATGCTGCTTTCCGGCATGCTAGCAAAAATTCATGGGGTAGGGCCCAAGGCAGTTAAAATTTCATATTTATTAAATCACAGCTGCATTTGTTTTTGTTAGAGACCTTAAAAATGATGACATACTATGAGCAATGCAGCAACCAATATAGCCTGAAATCATAAAGCCATTTCCAGTCATGAAGCACTGTCTAGTCCTTTAGCACTGTAAATTGCTCACTGATCAGGCACTATGTGCTGTGCTAGCAGCAAAACGAGCAAATAATAAAATCCAGTAGCATGACCTGTGTTGGCAGTAGCAGCATCATAAACTGTTAAAAAAGAGCAAGCTTTAACAAACCTGATTTATTTTGTACAATTTATCTGATTTTATGTTTTATCTGTGAGCAGTTAAATGGAATAATTGGGTATAGACCTTTGTTTTATTTCTCATACATTTTAAAGCCAGACCATTTAAGTCAACTGACCCGTAGGAGAGTTCCCAGGATATCTGTTCCACATGGCTCCATCTCTCTCAAAATTGTCCCTAGTCTTTGTTTTGGAATTTAAAGTAATAGTCCTATTTCAGCGTTACAGTTTTCAACTATTGGCAGAAACAGTCCCTTTCTGTCTCTGGCTTCTCGCTGCTGTGAAGTTTGAGTGTTGAACACTGGATGAGGATGTTATCTAAGCAAAAAATGGATTTCATTACTTTAAAGAATGATAATATTTGACTTAACATTAAAACCTGAGCCTGCCTCCTCTTTAAATAAATAAATAAACCCTCAAAATTTCATCTTGAGTTAATTGCCTAACCATAAGCCATTAAACAATAGGGACCCGTAAGCTGTCAAATAAATGGTTCAATAACACATTTATGTGCTAAGAAGATAATAAGAGGAAAAACAATATTGCCTTTTCATTAGGCCTTGTAGGTTTATCCTCCTTTCATGTCCATATAAATCAGGAATAACTACACCTAAGTCATTGAAGTTATCCCCGTGTAAAAACAGTATTTGTCAGGTAGGAATTGGAGTCTATGAATATATAAATTACCAAGCTGTTGAAAAGATTTATGGGTTAATTTCCATTGGCTCAAGGCAGATCCTGCCAGGTTTGGTTCACAGACCAGTGTAGCGTGGCTGGCACCAGAGCAAGGAGAGGAAGAAACAGGAGAGCTTTGCCCCGACTCTGATGGGTACCGGAGCATGTCCCTGCATGATGGATTTTGATGTTGCGGTTTGTCTGTCTATTTATTGCTGTGTTTCTTAAATAAGAGAAGGCAGTCGAGTGCTTTTCTCTGTCGAGCTAGCGAAGCAGGCGCGTTCCTCACTGCTTCTGTGTGCGCAGAGACGTGGAGCGCGTGGCAGCCGTGGAGCCCGTGCAGCGCGACCTGCGGCGACGGCGTCCGCGAGCGCTTCCGAGAGTGTCTCACGTCGAGGCCGGCCCGGCCGGGCTGCGCCGGGGCGCCGAGGGAGACCTCCACGTGCTCGCTCGAGCAGTGCTGGGGTACGTAGCTCCGCTTTGCTTTTCGCTGCGCTCACGTGTCTTTCCAGGTAAAAGCAAAAGGCGAGTTGTTAGAGTAGCTGTGTGGAGCTGAATCATCCCATCTCTTCAGTCATACTGATTTTCTGGGGGGCCATGTTTCTGTGGTTGATGGGATGGGGCTAGAGCCTTCATGGTTTGTGGGAGAGGTAGAGAGGGGGCTTTCAGGCTCGGCAAGAGACTTCCTGCAGCCCTATGTGCCATGGAAGTGGTTTCAGTGGTTTCAGCTTCCTTATGCCACCTGCATGCTACCTGGTAGCACTGCCAGGTTAGCCAGCTTGGCCGTGCCTTCTGCTTCCCCATGTGCTTCATAACTGACGTTCAAGTTGTCTCTGCTTCGATGGGACTGATCAGCACTCAACTCTCAGTGCTGGGGGCACTCTGCTCAGGTCATGTCAGGTGGGAAGTGCCACAGGAGTCCCTTACACTGGGGAAGTGTGGTAGTGACCCAGCTAAAAGTATGAACATTTTGGGGATTTGGGGAAATTGCTTTTCACATGGCCATCACGGTGCTTGTGCCGTTGGAAAGGAAGGACAACAGAGCAGGGCAATGTGTAGCTAAAGCAGGAACAGAGCAGGGTTGCTCCTCTGATGGAGGTGTTGGCTTAAACCAGCTTCAAGATGTTTGTGAATGAAAGCAGCCGAAGAACGCAGGCACTGCAAGCAGTGGGCAGGTATGGAACCAAGGCCAAGGGTGAGTACTAAAAATGATACTCCATCGAGCCAGGCTTTGCATTTGGTCAGTGTTCGTTCAAGACTTGGAATATTTTAACAGCTTGTTGTGAAGACTTTTGATGTTTTAATGACTAGAAAATGCCCACCATGTGGGTTTGGTTATTTCTTAAAACCGCAAGAGGAGAGGAGCAGTTCAGATGCGTGGGGGCCCCGTTTAGAGCTCATGACCTGCACTAGGGCAGCCTTCCCTCTCTCTGCCAATCTCTGTCAGACCGAGGAGGGTCTGTGTGCTGACACCAGAGAAAATCAGTGATGTGGTTGTTTTTCTAAAGCCGATATCCAGCTGTGCTTTTCTGTGCTGTCTAGTTACCTGCTGCAGGGGTATATCCCTAAACACAGAATTGTGTTATTTATCTTGGCTCCTTTTTGGCCAGTTTTGCCATACTTTTGTGGAGCTCTGAGAGCAATCCCAGTGCCAAGGGCTGCTGTGCTCTGAGACTCCCTGTGGGAAGCGTTAGGCCTGCTCTGCGTGTGCAGGACACACAATCTGTGTTTGCACCTTGCACACACACAAGTGCCAGCCATTCCCAGGGCTTCCTGGAGGTGTCAGTCCTTCTGTGCGGGGGTGCAACAAGCTTAAGACATAGGTGCTTCCCAGGAACTGTGGTGCTTCCTGGGAACAGCTGCAGGTGCTCTGCAAGCTGTTTGGAGATGCTACATGACAGCACTGAGTGGATCTGGACAATCCTCAAATTCCATCAAGGTCCCTGGGTTAAAAAAAAAATAAAGAGGGTTTTTATAGGAAACTGAGATGCGCAGAGCCCGTGTTTGCACCCATTGCTGTAGCATCACCTGGAGAAATTGCCTCGCCTCTCTCCTGCTCGTGGTTTCTAATCCTCCTGCTCCCATGTCAGGCTGGTTCCTCTATAGTATTACACACATGTGGTTTCTTAAATCCTAGCTTGCCCAAGCAGTGAGCTCACGCTGATCCCAAGGCCGCGTGTGCTGGGTGATCTCGGGCTGGGAGTGTCTTCGTCCCCCTCTCCCAGCAGACTGTCCAAAACAGCCCGTTCCGGCCCAGTTACACGTGCAGTTACTAGTCCAGCAGATGGAGCAAATGGCTGAGTCGCTGAAGCCAGTGCACGGTCATGGGGCAGAGGCAGATGGGGTGAGCAGAGAAGCAAAACGAAGCCCTGTTTTGAGCCATTCTGCATGCTAGCTCGTTAGCTTATACTCCAGGTAATGCAACACAGTGTGCATTACAGATGGAAAACAGAGTCTTTAGGAAATAAAGACCTGTGGGCAAACAGGCCCGGGAGGAGGATGAGCAGTGAAAGAGTTGCTCTGCTCCAGGGGTAGAGACCAGGGTAAATGCTGGTCTTGTCTCCCCTCAGATGAGCGTATCCATTCCCCGCTCGGGCCACCCCTGCTCTGTGTCCAGGGCATGGGGGTTGCAGGCTGAGTGGACCTGTAAGTTTTAGGGGTCCTAAGCAGAACGATTCACCAGGCAGTGCTGCTGTTACAGTCTTTGTGCTGATGTTGAGCTCTCAAAGTGACGTGAAGATCGAGGATTTCTCAGAGCTCTTGAGGCTGTCATACAGTTCTGGGTCACAGAAACAGACCCCCATCACTTCTTTTCTCAGCTAATAACCTACTGCAGGGGGAGAACATCTTGTCCTCTGAAACTGGGCTGCAGCAGAGGACATGCTCTCACAGTATTGCTTGCAAAAGTGACACTTCCACCGGTAATGCTCCTCTTTTCAAAATCCAGAGCTCACAACAGTGACTCTCACAGTGTCTTAAGCCATTACAAAATACTTTAAATGATGCTGGATTATAATTATCTCATTTTACATATATTTAGGAGTGCTAAATGGAGCAGACAGAACAAGCAAAAGTAATAATTACATTTAAAAGGTCTATAGGACCCTTGATTTAAAGCAGCTAGATCTGCTTCTGCCAATCCAAAGTGATCAGTCCTTCTGTGACAGATATAATCACAATGAGAAAACCTCACTGACAGACAAAGTTACTTTTCTTAGTAGTAAAGTGGCTCTCCTAAGACACGGAGGAGCTGATGAGGATGCAATTTTAATGACAAACCTGTTCGCTCTTTTTTACAGCTATCAAGCCTCCCACCCCACCTTCTATCCAGCCAGAAGAAGACCAGAAAGCCAATAACATAGTCACCATCACGGGCATCTCCTTATGCTTGTTCATCATCTTTGCCACTGTTCTCATCACGCTGTGGAGGAAGCTCTGCAGAGCTCCCAAGTGCAGCGCGGCCGTGCGGCGAAACTCCGTCCATTCCCCCGGCTTCCGGAAGAACTCCGACGAGGAGAACATCTGCCAGGGCAACAAGCAGCGGGACAGCTTCACGGAAGGAGGTGATGCCCCTGTGAACATCCCTCTGACCTACAGGCGAAGCCTCCCGCTTGCCCAAGAAGATGATGCCTCTGGAAGCGAGAATTTTCAGCCGAACGCCCAAAAAATCATCCCTCCCATTTTCAGCTATCGCCTCGCACAGCAGCAGCTGAAAGAGATGAAGAAGAAAGGCCTGACGGAGACCACCAAAGTGTACCACGTTTCTCAGAATCCTCTCACAGACACAGTTCTTGGTGCCACCACAATGCTCCCCTTGAGCACAGAAAACCAGGAGGAGGCAGCAGCAAACAAATTTAGGATCAAATCTCCATTTCTCGACCAATCAGCCGGTCAGCCCAAATTCCCGGGTGAAAGCTCTAACCCAAGGCTGGATTTTCCATTCTCGCAGGCCAATCCTGCAATGAGCCCTACCCAGACCTTGATAAGAAGAGCTCATTTCAAACACCAAGATAACAGAGGAGAGTTATCAGAGAGGGGCTCTCACAGAAACCCACATTTTAGAAGAACAGCCAGTTTCCATGAAACTAAAAAGGCCAGGCCTTTCAGGGAGAGAAGCATGTCCACCCTAACGCCACGACAGACTCCTCTCTATAGCTCCAGGACCAGAACATGGGACCAGGGGTTGGAAGACAGGGCAAGGCCCAAACTGAGAAATGCTAGTGCAGCTTGTGAAAAGCTGGATCAGTCGCATTGCCCTGTGCTGCCGTGTGAAGCGCAGGGCCACGGCACGAAGTGCCATCAGAAAGCGTGTCCCCCGGTGAAGAGGCTGGATCCGCTCGCTGACCGCCACCCCGGCAGTCAGGAGAAGGCAGCTGAGAAAGCTGAGCCCGGCCGGAACAAGAGAGGCCCCTCACCGAACCCCAGGGGCGCGTGGCGCAAGGAAGCGGCGGCGGCGGCCGCCAGGGACGCCCAGCAGAGAGGCCGAACGCTCAGCCCCGTCCAGTTCCGAAAGGACAAGTGCCAGAGCTTCCCGCTGGACCCGGAGTTTGCCTTTTATGATAACACTACTTTTGGCTTAACCGAGGCAGAGCAACAGATGATTGACCTCCCTGGGTATTTTGGCTCTAATGAAGAGGATGAAGCAAGCACCTTAAGCGTTGAGAAGCTGGTGATCTGAGCAACTCGGTGTAACCCTGTAGGAGGGCATGAGAGGGTTTGCAAAATCTGTTGGCTTCTGCTGGGAGGAGCAAAGGGATCACATTCGCTCCATTGGGAAAAGGAGGGAGTTCCCCAAGTCTGACTTGTGAGAACACATTCCTTTCTAATTACTGTAAAGTGCTTCCATGTAATTATTTTGTGTATGTGTGTGTGTAAAATACATGCATAATACCCTGGGAAAGCACATGATAATGAAGGCTTGACACAGGAATGATCTAGTAGGCTTTGTGTTACGTTTCGTTCCTCATCCACCATGGATCCCATCGATCTCCCCTCTCTTGCCTTGTGGACCTTGTGCCGGTAGATTATGATGTCCAGAAACATCCGTTCTCCAGTATCCTCAAACAACAGTACTAATTAGAGAGTTATTTTCCATTTAGAAAACATAAAGTTGGAAGCAGTTTTCATTGTTTCTTTTGTAGAGATTCCGGAGCTTCGCTGATCGGTTGTGTTTGCTCCAGTCAGTCATGTGGTGATGTCTCTTCTAGCCGTTTGGATGAAGTTGCAGGCAATCGATACTGAATGCCTGGTATGCACTGAGGGGGTGTTTCTCATCGTTCAGGACTTTGATATTTTATTTCCGCCAATATTTATATAAAGAAAACACAGTGATGTACAAATATCTTCAGGAAATCAATAGAAAAAGGCATGTTCCTGAGAGGGCTAGGGAAAATTGATTACGAGATTTTAACCTTTACAGAAATATTACTGGAGCATTTAAGCCCCTGTGAAAGAGACCTGTTTAATCTCCCATCCTTTCTGTAATCATCTTTATGTTTGTTAAATGTTTTCTTTTTGTGTGTGTAAAGAAGTCGACAGTGATACTACTATAGCAAGCTCAAAATAAATTATGAACAAACCCTGTGAACAACACATTTATTTGATAGATACCTGTTTTGCCAGCAAAAAGGAGAAGGGCTTAACAGCATCTGATGATTCCTGGAGAACCTTATGGTGAATTACAAAAGTTACATTGTTATTTCTCATGCTGTGAAATCAGAGATGAAAAACTGGCAATTAGACACTGCTGCAAATATTCAGATCTGGATTAAAAACCCCTATAGACAGCAGAGACAGAGTTCAGGCAGCCAGAATGACTCAGACACTTGTCTTGCCATCTATTAGAATAACCATCTCTTCAGAGGGTTTGCGAGGCGTGCTTACGGGCGGAAAAGAAGAAGATGCTGGCATCTGAGGACTGAACGAGAGAAGGGAGGTGCAGGCAGAGAACTGTTGGCTGTAAAACAGCGCTCCCATAAAGGGCTGAGCCCCACATGCCGTTCAGCCCATCCTGGGTGTGAAGGCCAACATGGCATGTGCTCAGTGCCCTGGCTAGAGCCTGTTACCTTGCTCAAAACTGGTTTTCTGAAGGGAAAGATACATTTGCAAACTTAAACTTTTTCTCCAAACGAGCAAATTTTAAAAGAGCCATATCAGGTTGTGCTTTAGTGCGTCTGATGGCACCCCTTGAGGTGTCACAGATCGTGTGCGGATGCCCACAGAGGCAGGGCTTGCTGCGGGAGCCTGCGAGGAGCAGGGAGCTCGGTGTTGGCCCCGTGCTCCCGGTGTGCTTGCTGGGTTACGTTTCCAGCTGCTGGCAGTGGGCTGGATCCAGCCTGCAGCGTGGTGGGAGTTGCCGCTTCCTTCGGAGCCTCAAGAGCGAAGCTCAGCCTGCGGCCCCAGCGCAGCATTAGCGCCACGTATGTATTCCCATTACCTGGCAGCTTAAAATGCCAGTTAATTAGAAAACAGCATTTTAGAACATGTCCACGCTTGAGGACTGATCCACAGCTCATGAAATGCAACTTGCCTTTATATTATCTTCAATGAGTTGGAAATGAGACCTCTGAGGCAGTTACAGCTCCCATTTCGTGCCGCCATGTGCTAAGGGAAACACCGCTGTCGGAAGCGCATTCCCACCGGCGCAGCGAGCTGCCGAGCTTGTCCGTAGAGCCTTGCTGGAGCCCCGGAGAAACGGGACATCAAACATGCTGCACAACAGCGCTCTGGAAATGCTCCTCTGGCCTGCGGGAAAGCTTGGCTGTAGCTCTCCGTGTTTGGCTAGTCGCATTTCTGTTCTCGTCGGTCTGGACGGACCTTCTGGAGAGCAGCTCTGCGGAGAAAGACCTGGGCTTCATGGTGGACAACAAGTTGACCATGAGGCAGCAGTGTGCCCTCGTGGCCAAGAAGGCCAATGGGATCCTGGGGTGCATTAAGAAGAGCGT